CGCTGCTCCGTGCGGCTCGCCGGGCGCTGCGCGCGGGGCGCGGCTGTCTCGGCGCGCACAATGGCTGGGGCCGGGCTGCGCCGAGTGGTGTTAGCATTTCACAGGCAGCCAGTTCAGCCGCGGCGGAACCGTGGCGGGACGTTCTTTTTTCTTCTCTCGCTTCCTTAGCTTTCCTTAAATTCCGAGCTGGGTTTTTTGTTGGAGGGGTTCCGATGTGTGATGGTTGGCCGGCGGCACGTCTCTTATTTACGCATTTTCGCGGAAGCAGAAAGACTGAAGTCCGAAGTTTAACAGGCTTTTTCTCGTTTTGCTAATTCTCCTGTTAACGCCTCTCGTTCAATTCAAAGCTGTTGTAGGCCGCTGAAGAGTTTTGATTTTTACCCATATTCAGTGTTGGAAGGGAACTTGGCAAGTAAAAGCTTTTTGGTTTATGTTGGACTGTATTTTGTTCAGAAGCTTGAAAAGTACCTAATTGTTAATTTTGTGGATTTTTCAAAGTGAATATTTTAGTAATTTTTAAAAATTGACTTCTGAAAGTGGACCTATTACATAAATCTTGTGAATGGAAAAGTAAGGTATTTGTATTCGGGGGTTACATTTTCCATTTTCTTTTCTCCTCCTAAACTGATTTAGATTGTTTTTATGAATATGTGTGGGGAACAGTTAAGCAGTCACACCGGGGCGAATCAAGCCTTGGAAATCTATGCAGTGCATTGGTTTTTCTCAGACGTATTTGCAGCTGATGTTTTAAGATAGTTATAATGACTAATGTTACTTCATAAGGGCTTCTGAAACGACTAGCAAGTTTCAGTTAGCTTAGAATTGAATGTCTTCTGTGAGGTGAAGGCATGAGGTGATTTTGATGGTTTGTGTTTCCTTTGGGTATAGAAAATCTAACTTTTGCGTCTAAATCTCTTATGATTTAATATAGGTTGTTAATAAGTGCTCACAGCTGTTAAAGTAAGCAAGGATACTTAGGTTTAGTAAATTTAATAGAAAGTTAGTGTATTCATTTCTATACTTTGT